GGCCAACCCTAGTACCTCTTACATCCAAACCATCTTGGGGCAAGAATCTGTCTGCCTGGAACCTGTGATGGACTGTTAGGTAACCACAGAAGAACCAGGGATTCACACCTTCACACTGATGACAGAACTGGCTGTACGACTTCTTCTGGCCAATGGACAACTGAAAAGGTAAAGCAAGGGGCTGATTTGAGAAATGTTTGTTTCTGGGACTGGCTGTCTTGGTAAACTCCCTGTATGTCTTACCCGCTATTAAGACTTAAAAAAAAAAAATCCAGGTCCTTTGCATGCAGTATCCAGGGAGGCCAGAAGTGGGCGATGGACCCTTTGGAACAAGAGTTACAATCAGTTGTTAGCAGCTATGTGGGTGCTGAGAAGTGAGTGGACTTGGATCTTCTGGAAGAGCAGTCAGTGCTCTTAACCGCTGAGCCATCTCGCCAGCCTCTGGCTAGATGAAGTTTTATAAAGTTTCATTTGAAATAGTATAAAACTACTATCCTAAGAAGGGTTAGTTTCAAAGGAGACACATTATACATGATTGTTTATAAGAGGGATCAGCGACTAGCTGATGGGCCAAATATAGCTGCCACCTGCTTCTGTAAAGTTTTACTCAGAGTGGTGGTGCACAGCTTTAATCCCAGCACTCAGGAGGCTGAGGCAGGCGGACCTATGTAAATTTGAGACCAACCTGGTCTACAAAGAGAGTTCTAAGACAGCCAGAGCTATATAGAGAAACCCTGTCTCAAAAATAAATAAATAATTTAAAAAAATGGTTGCTACTTCCTGCTTCATGTGATTTTTTAAAAAAGAGAACTGGGTTAGAAATATGGCTCTGCAGTTAAGAGCAGCACTGCCTGAAGTAGCAGGACTAGATACTGAGCACCAGCTGCTGCCCTTGTCGCTAAGAAAAGATGTGCCATGCTTGTGAGACACAGCTTTAATCGCTAACATAACCTAGAATCCTCTGGGAAGAGAGTCTCCACGAGAAACTGTCTACTCTAGATTGCTCTGTGGGCATGCCTTGTTTGGGGTTATCTTAACCAAGATAACTGATATGGGAAGAACCTGCCCAGTGCTGGCGGTGCCATTCCCTAGGCAAGGTATCCTGAATTGCTTAAGAGTGGAGAAGCCAAGATGAGCACAAGAAGGCAAGAAAGCAACATGCATATTCATTCCTCTCTATTCGTCACTGGGGATGTAATGTGACCACCTGCCCCAAGCTCTTTCCAGGATGGTATCCCAGTAGTCATGGATTGTAACGTGGACTAGCATGCTAAAACAAATCCTTTCTCTTTTAAATTGTTTGTTGTCAGGGTATTCTAATCACAGCAACAGAAACAAAACTAGGACAGTGCCTTTGGGGAGACAAGCAGACTTTTCAAAAGTTTATTCCTTCATCTCATTAGGTATATAGATTCAACTATCAACTAACAGAAAATGAAAAAAAAAAATAAAGCCAACAGCATGTGTTGTGGCTACTGCAAACATCAAACTGCGGGGCTGGACATCAGCGCTCACCAACAAGCCCATCTGCACTTGAGAAGCTAAGGCAGAAAGAGGACCATGAATTTGGGGCAAGCCTGGGGGTGTTCTTGCTTAAAAAAAAAAAAAAAAAGACAATTTTGTTTATGTGAGTGCTCCTGAGTACCTGAATAGGAGCTAAGCCCACATGTTCATCTTGGGTTCAGCTCTAGGCTGCCTCCTACTAGCTCTGAGACTTAGGGCATGGTGCTTAACTTCTCTGATTCTTAGGAGTGCTGTGAAGACAGATGAGGTCTCTGCCTGCAGTGTTAAGCTCTTGCTGGCAAGGCTCCCTCAGGGGGTCAACATTTGTTGTCACAGGGAGGCTCTTCTGCCCATCCATGAGTACTTCACCATAACTTCCCATGTCTGCGTTAACTCTGCTCTCTTTTCCTTCGCCTTTATTGAGTCATCAATCCCCAGTGTCACACTGTTTGCCCTGTGCTAACCAGGTTATTTTTAAGCAGGTTACTGTGATGCTGCAGTGGCTGGTGTGCCAGGCCCGCCCTGCTTCCTAATCGTGGGGCTCCAGGCAAAGGGAATGGGGGATTTCTCTACAGACACCCTGAGGATTACAAATCTCTGGTGCCATCCCTAGCTCCTTACACAGAAACTGTGCCTGTCCCTTGCTTGAGTCAGGACCCTCTTTTAAAAAGGTCTGAGCACCATCCTGGTGTTGATGGGCAAAATAGACAGACTCAAAACCAAAGAGACCAAAGCTGAAATCCAAGCTGCACCAAGTATAAAGAGAATGGTGATGACCAACTCGGAGAGTCTAGGGCATCTAAGGGAAGGCATTGCTGGAAACAAATTCTGAAACCCCTCTTCTTGGACACGGGCTGTTTCTGTCCTCTAGTGACTGCTGGCTAGGACAGCAAGTGTCAGCTTCAAGATGCTGAACATTGCTTCTGGACTTCTAAATTACACTGCTTCTCAATCATGCCTGACCCATAATTCCCTTTCCACACAATGTATTTTGTGTAAAGATAGCAATTTCTAAACATTTTTCAGCACCCTTCTGAAGTACTGTCATGCTGTAATAAGTAGGTAGGTTTTCTTTGTGAGCACACAACAGAAATGCAACTCAAATGTGTTTATGTAAGAAGGGACACACACTGAGTCCAAGACAGCAGGAAGGAAAGGGTGTTGCTTCTGGGAATGGACCCTGGCCCATTCCCAGATTCCACAGACTTTCTACATAGCCTCATAGGGGCTATGACCACAGAAATTCAAAATGTAGGCTCTGGGTCCTGTGAAAAGCTCCACAACTCTGCAGAGTTCCAATTCAGAATATAAACATGGGCTCACACCCCTGCAGCCCAGAGCCGGGGCCAGGACTGGCAGCTCCTCCTCAGGAGCTAAGGTGGTCCTGTTCCCAGGAAGGAAGGGAGCTGCCAGGGTACTGCCTGTCAGGCTGTCTTACACAGGACACCTGGCCTTCCAGGCCCATCTGCCATTCCTACCTAAAGCTTGGACAGTTTGCACAGTTCAAACCAGCACATTTCCAGGAGAGTGATGACGTCACAGAACCAGGGTTCCAGAAGGCTGGGGTGGCCAAGAACGCGTGCCTTCTCGAGAGGAAGGAGAACCATTAGGCAGAGGGGGCCGGAGAGTGCTTGGTGAGGAAGAGGAGGCTCCTGCCACAAACCACCTTGTCCTGTAGATCCTCCCAGAGGCTCTGGGCTGACTGGGAGCGAGGACCAGAGAGGTAGGCTTGGAAGCTAGATAGGCCACATACTGGGACCACTGTCACCCCAAGGGGAATCCCTGAGGGGCTTAATGGGCCAAGCCAGACCTTCCTGCATTTGAAGATTCTGAGAAGTTTACCTCTGAGGGACATTCTGAATCAGTATTGGGAGGGCTGCAAGAAACATCTGTGAATTAAACAGCTATTTGCTATTTACCTGAAATCGTAATTCAAAAGGGCTCTGTTTGTTCTATTTGCAACACTAGAGTGGGGTAGTGAGATCAGCCAAAGAATGTCCCAAATGCACGCTGTGTGGCAAATACAGATCAAGAGACCAGGAGCCAAGGCAAGGCCACCAGAGACGCCATGATTTTTTTTAAGTGAAGGAGGCAGGGATCCTGGCCTTTGCCCTCAACATCAATCACCTGGTTTAAAGGGAAAGATGCATATCCTATGACAGGACCAGGTCAAGTGTGCTCTCACAGAATGAACATTTGAAGGACAGAACCCAGTTATTTTATAGATGTCCCCTTCTGTCTAGGTTCATTTTTTCATGATTGGACCCAGACTTCCCAACCTTGGCCAGGACACCTCATCAGAGGTTATGTATCTCGAGGTTTCACATCCAGAGGTGCAGAGTGCTCTTTGTCCCTCAATGACAGTGTGAACTTTAATTGCAAGATTAAAAACACCGTCTGGGGTTTGACATTTGCTAAGCAATGTGAGATGACCAAGAGCATGCTTATAAGCCACTTCAGACTCGGTGCCCTTGGTAGTTTATATTCAAACCAGTCATTATGCCCACACCATGTTCCTACAGTAGTTCAGAAATCTGCCATATTCATAGGAGTCCTGGTTCCACTTTGTAAGGAATGTGAAACCATGTCTTGGGTGTTTATTATTCATCTTATTCATTACATCATTCTGATTGTAGGTATTAATGAATAAGTCTTTATTTCACACATGGGGTCCAGAGAGTTAAGTATGTTGTTTAAAGTCACACAGCAGCCCAGTCTTTGATAGCTGGCAGTAGGTGGGAATTCAGTCCTTGATCTTCACACACACACACACACACACACACACACACACACACACACACACACCATTAAAGCACAGGTTATTTATATAACAAGATCATATTTACTATTTACTTGCTTTCTCATATGCACCTTGTACAGAAGCAAAACAGTAGAACCTACAAGCAGCACACCAGGAATAGCACACAGCACAGTTGGCAGTGATAAAGGTCATGGATCTGGGAGTATGGGTTGGGGAAGATTGGCATCCAATGTCCCAATCCTACTTCTGAAGGCACATGCTCAAATACATACCACAAATGCTGGTGAAACATAATCTGCTCTAACCTCCTTAGCCAACTTCACTCCTCATCCTGGTACCCAAATGTTGCCTGCGCCTAAATACCAATAGCAGCTGAAGTCAGAGTGGCCTTGACTTTGAATCTGGACAGTGGGTATATGGGGAGTTATGAGATTACTCTCTCTCCTTTTGTGTTTATATTTTCCGTGACCAAAAATATAATGTGAATATAGATTAAGCTGAGTGCAGTGGCTCTTGCCTGTGATGCTAAGGCTTTGGTAGCAGAGACAGGAGGATTACTGAAAGCTGAAGGCCAACCTGGCTACATTTTGAGTTCCAGAATAGGCTTGGGATATAACGGGAGATGGGGTGGGGAGCAATAAAACTCACCAGGCATTGAGCATTAAGTGGGGAAATTTGGTTTCTCTCTTCAGGTTTACCAAGCTCTCAGAGACTCGCCGGTACCTAGTCTTCTCTGATGATGATGAGGGTGCTGCTTATCTGCGTGGCGAGCTGCCTCCTGGTGGTGAATGGTGAAGACATTATCAACCGCTGCACCTTAGCCAAGTTGCTGTATGAGGAGGACTTGGATGGGTATGAGGGCTATACCCTGCCTGACTGTGAGTGTCACTTCTCAGCTCTTCTCCATCCCTCCTATAGTTCTCTTACCTACCTTCCTCTCTTTGCATTTGTCTTTCAAAGTCAAGTTCAGTTCAGAAGGTTGTCTCCTGTGCCAGTGAGTTCAAGGCTTTTCCCCACTTTTTCTTCCAACAGATTTAGTGTGTCTGGTTTTATGTTGAGGTCTTTGATCCACTCAGATTTTAGTTTTGTGCAGGGTGATAAATATAGATCTATTTGCATTTTCTACATGTAGACATCCAGTTAGACCAGCACCATTTCTTGAAGATGCTGGGGTTTTTTTTTTTGTTTGTTTGTTTTTTTGTTTTTTTGTTTTTTTTTTCCCCATTGTATGGTTTGGCATCTTTGTCAAAGATTAGGTGTCCATAAGGCTCAGCACTTAAGAGCACTTCTACTCTTCCAGAAGACCCAAGTTTGAGTCCTGGCAGCAGCTTGAGTCCTATGTCAAGCATCTCATAACCACCTGCAAACCAATCTCCAGGGGACCTGACACTTCTGGCCTTCATGGGTCCCCTGCAGTCATATGCACATACACACAGATATACACATACACATACACACAATTAAAAATAAATCTTTTTTATGTATCTGTAAATCCCAGCACCCTTATAAAGAAATAAGCAGTGGAGGAAACTCACAGGTCAGCTAGCCTGGAGTATACCACACAGCTGCAAAGAAAAGGTCCTGCAGAAGAGAATTGACTGCCAAAAGTTGTCTTCTAACTTAAAAATGTATTCTAGTTCTGTGTGTGTTTCTCTCTGCTCTCTGTGTTCTTTCTCTGTCTCCCATTCTCTCTCTCTCTCTCTCCCCCTCTCACGCACACACACATACACATTCAGGTAACACTGTTGACAATGGAGTCAGAGAAAGACTCTGAGGAACTGATGCTGTGCAGTGCTGGATGAAATTATGTCTAGAAGAAAGGCATTCCAGGTGAAGGAACAGCCAATGCAGAGGCTTCATCCGCTGCCCTGCATGGAAGGGGAGCTCTCCTCTCCACCTAAAATTTGTGTATATCTGCCTTGTGATACTTTCTCCACTTATCCCCCCTTCTCCCTCTATGCGTGTGTGTGTGTGTGTGTGTGTGTGTGTGTGTGTGTGTGTGTGTTAAGTCGATGCATTTGTTCTATCTGTACTAGGCCCCTTGAAGTCAACGCCAGCCTATTGGGCTGTGCATAGTTCCTGGTAAAGAGTAGGTACTCAGCAAGTGTATAAAACATAAGTGGATAGAAAGATAGGGGGATGGCTGTACTAATGGGTGGGGAAATGAACTCAACAGAATGGATGAAGCCTTTGGATCTTTCTAGTTCTTTAAACCCAACTAGCCTCTTGGGCCTTGTTCTCTCTCCTGATTTCTTGGCTTCCCCTCCCCCCCCTTTTTTTCTGTAGACTCCCTTTCCACTGAGTTTGGTTCCTTCCTAAAGTCTTTCCTCCTCCTCTTTTCTAAGGGCTGTGCTTGGCTTTTGTGGAAAGCAACTTCAACATATCAAAGGTGAATGAGAATGTGGATGGCAGCTTCGACTACGGCATCTTCCAGATCAACAGCCATTACTGGTGCAAAGACTACCACAGTCATTCAGAGAACTTCTGCCACTTGGACTGTCAAGGTCTGGCTGGGAGCCCAAGGGGGAGGGGTGAGGTGAGAGAGGAGACTAGGCTCTACTTATAGGATCTTTCCTAGGCACAGCCTGGGCATGTCCTTCCAGGGATGGCTTTAGCAAGATTGAGCAGAGGAGCAGCCCCACAGTCTTAATGTCCCATCCTTGCAGGAGGTCTGGAGGTCCCTCTAGGAGAATCCAGAAAGACTCTTAATGGGCAGGAGTGTCACTGCAGCCATACTGAGGAGCAACTTGCTCTGTGTCGAACAGATCATATGCATAGGTCATTTTATCCGCCCTCCCATGCAGTAGAAACTGTGTATGAGCCTGCTTCTCAGATGAGCAAACTCAGGCTCAGAGAACTGAGCCAGGTATGTGGCCATTAATATCATCTACTTCTGAGGCTGGGGCAGGAGGATTGTCAGAGCCCAGAAATTCAAGGCTAGCCTGGGGTCATAACAATGAGATGCTGTCTGAGGAAGGGAGGGAGGAGAAGGGAGAAGAGAAGAGGGCAAGGGAGGCAGGTAGTCTAGAAATGAATGTGATTTATGGCCTAAAGGCTCAGGTATATCCATTCACTAGTACCCAGGCTAATGGTTGAAAGAAGGCCAGGAACACATTTCTTGCCTCAAAGCTAATCCAGGAGGCTTGACAAGGTCGGTGACTCTTTCCTACCCCAATGTCCCCAGGTGTCTCACCTATAGACCCCCTTATAAATGGGACCTTTTCTTGGTCTCTGTGTTGTCTGTTTTGGCATCCTTTCATTCAAGAAGTCCTTCAAACTTTGGGTGAGCCATTACCTACTCTGGCTAGAGGAAGAACAGTGGACAGAGTTAGATCTCCTCCTGGCACCATGCCCATCTCTGGCAGCCACTGTAGGACTATCTAAATGGGTCCCTAGGATGGAGGGCTTGCCTAATCTGGAAATGCTCACCCTAGGTTGACAAGTCCCTTTCAGCCAGAGACAGGATCTGTCTGGTCTTTGGGATTGGCTTTTATATCCATCACAGGTAACCTCTTCCTTCTTTTCAGAACTACTGGATCCCCACCTCCTTCCATCCATCCAATGTGCAAAAAAGATTGTGTCTATGTCAGGAGGGATGAGAAACTGGTGAGTAGGACTGATGGGATTAAATGAGTGGTCAGAGCCTCAAAAAGGAGGATATGACAAAGTATGGGGCAGATGGGCAGGGAGCTGTGGGCAATCCCTTACAGAAGATTAGAAAAACATGGGGCTGGAGAGATGGCTCAGTGGCTAATAGCCCTGGCTGCCTTCTCAGAGGACCCTGGCTCCATTCCCAGCTCCCACAGGACAGATGACAACCATCAGCAACTCCAGTCCTAGGGGAATCACCACCCTCTTCTGTCCTTCACCGACACTACATGCATATGGTGGTGCACAGACATACACCCAGCAAACATTCTTACACACAAGATAAAAATAAAAAATCTCAAAAAATTAAAAAAGGGGAGAAAACTGCTGAAAATTGGACAGTCTTAGCACTCTTTGTCATAACACCTGGTTTCTCTGATGTATTCATAACTTCTGACTGTACTAAGAGAAAGCAACTTGAACTAGCAGAGGGATACCGATTTATTCGTGTATTTGGATGCTTTTAGTTATCTTTAACTAATGTATGTGTGTTTTATGCATATACATGTGAGTGGAGGCCTGATGTTGATGGCAGGAGTCTTCCTCAATCTCTCTTCACCCTATTTATCAAGGCAGCATCTCTGAATTGTACCTAGAGCTCACATATATGGCCAGTCTGGTTAACCAGTTTGCTTCAGAAATCCCTCCTCTCAGCCTTCTGGACACTGGAATTACAGGCAGGCAAGCAAGCCTTCCTAGCATTTATGTTGGCTTGGGGGAATTCCAACTCTGGTCCTTATGCTTGGGAATCATCCCCAGAAATCAGCCCAGAAATTTATTTAGAAGAAGGTCTCTTACTGAGCTCACTCAAGGGATGTAGCTGAGCCCCAGGAGAGAGGCTGGAAAATAGGTAGAGGCTTCCCTTGGCCAGTTCTGCTTCCCCTGCACATTCAAGTCACTGTTCTCTGCAGATTAGCATCCTCTGCTCCCCAACTCATAAAAGAGACCACAGCCTCCCAATCTATAATTTAAAGTCCTAAGGGGACCAGTTGGAACAAGTCCTAGTCAAAGTTCCAGAGAGAGACTCTAATTGGTTCGGTGTGAAACAGCGTTTTCCTTCTTGTTCCAAGTAGTTAAAAGCCCGAGAGGACTTAATACAAATGTGTCTCCTACAGGGCCCCTCTCACAACAAATAATGCTTCCTATTAAAAGGAGCCCCTTAGCCAGGACAGTTACTCCAAAGTTTTCAGCTCTTCAAAGCTGATGTATAGGGGACCCCTTGATCTTTTCTGTGCTTCAAACTGGACATGAAACTAACATAAATGGGCCCCAGCTACAAGAATTTGTAAGAACTTCAAAGAGTTATGAGTGTTACATGTTCAAAACAAGAGCCAGGAAAAGATATTAATGATTATTAGGGCTGATCCTTTCTGGAGGGGAGGTTCAGATTGCAACTAAGGTTTTGTTTTAATTAACTCTAAATCCTATAGAACAGTGCCACCCACCTTCAAAGGGAAATGAAGATTTGAAAATGTGGATGCTAACTAAATGAGGGAAGAGGGCACGAGGGAAACTTAAAGAAGAATCAGAAGGGACAGGCCTGCTAGGAATGAAGGAGACTCTTCAGAAAGGACTCCCCAGAATGTGGTTACATATATGAAGACGCGGTAATTAAACAGAGAACAAAACTCTTATCTTTTTAACGCCACAGGGCAGAATGGAAGTTGCACTGTTCGGGACGGCCGCTCTCCTACTGGCTGACAGGGTGCCGTCTGAGTTGAACCAGAATGCAGACCTGCCGGAGAGTCACTCTGGGACCCCTGCACTACTTGGATTCTCACCACTTCATCTTCTTGCCTTCACCTCACATCATTTTCTTCTCTTCCCACTCACAAGTAAAACTCACCAGAGTCCCAGGGGCAAGCGTTTTACCTAGGTTACCTGCTTGTGTTCATCCAGGCCCAGTCCCTTTGTTCCTAACTATCATTTGCAAACCAAGAAGATGTCAAATAAATACAATCATATATTTTTTTAATTTATCGAAGCCCACCCCAGACAAAGAATGTGTGTATTTAGTTATTTTTTTAAAATATACTAATAATTTTAATCCTAACAAACTATAAGTCCATGTGGATTTATAATATATGGTACTACATCAGCCAGATAACTAAGGAAGGTTTCTAGCTACTCAATTACACAGATAATAATTCATCTAAGAGAGATAGACAGAAAGTGAACTTCCATTATCTTTAGATATGATGATGACTGCAATACAATTTTCAATATTTGTAGTATATTTTATGTAGCTTAATTTTCATATCATAGAATATTTCATAAGTAATTATATTTGTTTTTATTTCTTTCTTTATTTTTTTTATTATTAATTACACTTTATTCACTTTGCATCCCCCCATAAGTCCCTCCCTCCTCCCCTCCCAATCCCACCCATCCTCCCCTTCTTCACGCATGCCCCTCCCCAAGTCCACTGATAGGGGAGGTCTTCATCTCCTTCCTTCTGATCTTAGTCTATCAGATCACGTCAGGAGTGGCTGCATTGTCATCTTCTGTGGCCTGGTAAGGCTGCTCCCCCCCAGGGGGAGGTGATCAAAGAGCAGGCCAAGGTATAACTGCCCATCCTGTATAAATAAGGGACAAGCCAAAAAATAGCCACAAACAATGTAAAATCCAGGTACAAGATGCCTAGGGTATACTTATCAATGTAAAGCCCAGGCACAAGATGCTTAGGGTATGCTTAAATGCTAAAGGTAAGAGGGAGTTTAAATAAAGTTTGGCTATAAAGGTGTAACTGCCCATTCTATATAAACAAGGGTGTTGTTAATTAAAAAGAAGAAGATGCAGGGGGACAACTGATATATTCTCTGCGAGAGATTTATTAGAAGGGTAAGGAGGAAGTGGGTAGCAGGGCATGGTGGGGAAAGAGAGATGGAAAGGGGGGATGGGGGAAGGGAGCACCCCAAGAGAGCGAGAGAAAGAGAAGAAAGAGAAGAGTGTAAAGAGAGTAAGAGAGTAAGAGAGAGACCACATGTGGGTATCAGCCCTTTTAAGGGGCACGGTAACCACGCCTTCCAGGCATGGTCACCAGGCTGGTCACCTGGTCACATGACATCATCATAGGATGCTGGGCAACCCAGAAGCAGGTTGTATTCCAAAACACTAACATTCCTCCCTTTTTCTATAATTAAAAATGGGGACTTGGGCTGCTTTTTATAAGGTAAGTTAAAGTATATAAATTTAGGCTCATTGGAAGCAGCTCTTGGTTGTCATGCAAGAGGTTGAGAGAGAGAAGAATTATAGCAACAAAATGGTCAGATTGCAAGGTCAAGAGTAAGGGAAGCCTTTGCCCTGGAAAATTTAGGGTAGAGGGTTGTCAACAGAGAGAGTTGCTAACCATGCAAGGCAGCAGGTAGGGACTGGGGAACGCTGGGAGAACCTGGAGCCGCTTGTCCTGCCTGGTCCCGAAGCACACCACTTCAGCCTTTTGTTAACAACAAGTGAATAACGGGTGTAGATTCTCTTCTGGCTACTTCCTGCTGACACTGGGGCCGCTGTAGGGAGGTCAAAAGGCTGAAATGTTGGCCAAGTCCAGGAAGAATAGGCTGCTTTGATGCTTTCCAGGGTCTGCAAGAACATCCATGGCTGGGAGGGAAGGTGCAGGTCCAGCTTGTTGGAAGTCCGTGAGGTCGGAGTTGAACACCTGTAGCTGCTTTGGTGCTGCTGTGGCTATAGGAAACATCTGTGTCTGGCAGGACACTGAAACACATATATAGGCAAAAGATAAAGTTGAGTATGGAGAAAATCCTGTAGGTATACATTGAAAGGTTTGGATCGATGAGGCTTGTACATGGGAACCTCTGTCTACCTGGGGGGGAACTTTATTTACCCAATCACTGGCAATATTTAAAGAAGGCTTTGTTTTCGATCTGTCATTGAGGTGAGGTTTGGTTACAGAAGCGTGTAAACTTAGAGGCCCTAGTGCCAGCTGGCACTAGGTGTAGAAACCTGAAATTCTCCAGAGGAGATCCTATCTGGAGCGCGGGCGTCTGGGCGTCTCCCATTGGGGGCAGAGAAGTCAAGACCTTCCAGTGGCGTCCCAAGGGAAGGTGTGACTCCGAGCGAAGAGGGATCCTGCCTGTTCAATAGCTCCTCAGCTCCTCCACTACTGGTGGGAATGTAAACCTGTACAACCACTCTAGAAATCAATCTGGTGCTTTCTCAGACAACTAGGAATAGCGCTTCCTCAAGATCCAGCCATACCACTCCTAGGCATATATCCAAAAGAGGCTCAAGTACACAATAAGGACATTTGCTCAACCATGTTTGTAGCAGCTTCATGTGTAATAGCCAGAAGCTGGAAACAGCCCAGATGCCCCTCAACTGAAGAATGGATGCAGAAATTGTGGTACATCTACACAATGGAGTATTACTCAGCAATGAAAAATAAGGAAATCATGAAATTTGCAGGTAAATGGTGGGACCTAGAAAGGATCACCTGAGTGAGCTGTCCCAGAAGCAGAAAGACACACACGGTATATACTCACTCATATAGACATATAACATAGGATAAACCTACTAAAAACTGTGCATCTAAAGAAACTAAAATGCTCAATCCTGGAAGCCTCTTACAGGTAGAAGGAGAGAACCAACTCCATAAGCTGTCCTTTGACTTCTGCATGCATGTTGATGCATATACCCCATCTACAACCCAACAATAATAAAAATGTATGACTTTATTATAATTAAACATTTTTATTAACAACAGATACTATTTGATGCTTATTTCTTTGATCAGTCTACTCTGGACATTAAGGAGATGCTACAGTAGCAAGAAACAGGATACAAATACTTTTAAATTTGACTTTTGGAGTTTTCTACAGCAAAGTTGAAAGAGATAGTCCAAATGGCCCAGGGGAAAAAATTGCAGGCAAGAGAATAAGCAGGACCCAACTGGAGCCCTGCCTAGTAATGGTGTTGTAACAAAGGTCAGCTGTCATAAATAAAGGGCGGGGCGGGGTAGGCCTGGCTAAGTTCCCTGAGCTTAGGGGACTTTCATTTCTTTTCCCAGAAGTGTGGGAAAGTGCTACGGATCAGTTCCTACTGCATGTCATGTCTCCACTGCACTTTGGTGCACGGAGGCTTCTCTTCACGTGGCAGCTTTTGTGGCTTCTGGCCTCAGCTGCTCCCATTCCAAAGTTCACTGGAAACCCAGTCCAGTTGACTTCAGAGCCCTGGGTGCCAACCAAACTTTGGTCTTGGCATCCCTCTGATCATCCACCTAAATCCGCACATACTCGAATGCCCAAGACGGACACAGGGGGTGCTGATTACCTGGGGTCCTCTGCTCCCACAGAGATATTGGCCCCACTTGAGGAATTGACTGACAGTTTACTTCTGTTCCAGGACCCCAGTACTTCTCCGGAGCCGAACCCAGAGCCTGAGGAGCTCACTGTACAGCATCAGGATCTGACCAACAAACTGACACCACCTGGGAAGCAGCCAGAGAATAGTTTAATGCTAAATGGGGATCAAGTTCAATCTACCATTCTGCCTTCACAGTTCAAAAGTACTGCCAATATAGGTGAGGCTACAGATCATCAGTTTTATGAAATACTTGTTCCATCACTAGACAGCCAGAGTTCAAAAGCAACAAAGTCCATTGTTTCACCCAAAGAGTTGAAGAAAGATCAAGCTCAGCATAGGAAACTTGCAAAAGTGGTTGTTGGAAAACCTCAATTTCAGAAACAAGTCGTGGATGATTACTATGAAGATCTAAATATGAATGAAGCTTATTCTTACAGCCTTCCACTGCAATCTCAGGAGAATGCAGATGAAGCTTCAGAGCTCCTAGAGCAGGCTGAACCTAACCATCTGAAGACACAAAATGGAAATCCAGAGAATCCCCAGAAGGAAGCTTTAGATTATTTCTCACAGCCCCCTGAGGGAGGTGAACCTTTAATTCAAAAAGAAGACTCAGCTCACCGACAACTTTCTTCTGAGGAGGTATCAATGCAACCTGAAATAAACAGTCCACCTCCAGATAGAAATGAAGCTCAGCACTTAAACTTGCCAAATGTTACAGTGAATCCTTTAGATCTTGAGACAGTGACTTCAGAGGCAGATAAGGAGGAACAAGCTTCTCTGAGCCAGCAAGAGACCCTAGCCCAGTTTACAGAAAGTCCTGAGCTGTTGGAACCTTCATCAACCCAACAAGAGGCCCCAGACGAGACTTCAGAGCTTCCTGAAGATCTTGACAAATCTGGTAGCCAGCCAGAAGTTCCGGCTCTGCCTACAACACTCCCTGAAGAAA